GTAGCATCCTTTGAGTTGGGACCAAACAGGATATGTTATAAATTGTCCTAAAAGCTGGGCCACACTTTACCTTTGTGACCTTACAACTTTAACGACTTTGTGATACGATTCTCTGTGATTAATGATTTTGCCATTTGTAGACTCTGACAGTGGGAGGCAATCTCAACCCAGAATCCCCCTGTGGGGTTTTAAACTCATCACTCCTTGACATAGATGACAAATACAGTCCTTTTGAAGATCAACTAATAGTTTGTTACTGAACTTTATTTAAAACTGAATATTATTCCCATGCAAACCTTATAACTATATTTTGGAATAAGTTCCATTTACAGTGGGACAACAACATGGGAAGGGCCCAATAAGCTTAGATTTTTTTCAAAGATAAATGACAAATATTCAAGTGTAGCTGGTCTGTTCTCAGTGACATCCACCTCAAAAGAAAATATGGCAGCAAACCCTTTGGAGGCAATTTTATCACCTATTCTAGTGCTCCAAACAAATCCACTGGCTCAGTGGAACACTTGATTCATCAAAGTGCTACTACCTGTCTGGGCCTGTTCACTGTAGAGGTGGTTGAGCTGAAACCCAATGGTGTCCACTAGCTGCTTCAGATGTTTAATCTCAGCCTTGTATATACATAACTAAAAACTGACAAGATTGTTCTGTTCAGGGGGTAGACCTCCAAGGCATTTTCTTAGATTTGGATAATACTTCTCTTAATAAACTTCATATATTTACCATTTCTTGAGCTATTAAAAATGACCTGTTTTGTCTGCCACTTGGAAAACTTCAGACTGGCATATTCAAGTCAACCTTTTTTGCGGACATGGACACCAGAAATAAATCTTTGCTTCTGATCACATCATATATGTTACTCGGAGCTAATCACAGTAAGGATCTATCTTACAAAAAGATCAAATAAAATCAATTTGCTGAGAAAGTCTGCACAAGACAGACTGCCACAAATGCTGTATAGGTCATCATCTCACTCTTTTATGGGTTTAATGCATTTGTCATCATATACTGGGCAAAAAAGCGAAAGGACTCTCTCTCTCTCTCATATATATATA